AATTTGGGGGGGAAAAAAAAATTTAAGTATTTTAAAATTAGAACTAAAGATTTTATAGTGCTACTACAGGTACGTCAGAATTAACGTGTGTAAAGTGATCTACATCCAGACAGATATCAACGAAGTAGAGGTTGATAATAACAAGGAAAGTGTTTTAAATGTTAAATTTTGGGCTGAGTGCAGTGTGACAGCGACGTGAGTGTTATACACCTGATGATGGCCGTCTGTGGCCGAAACATGTAGTGTGGGTGAACAAGATCAAGGACACATAATATATTGTTTGCACTTGGGACGGAATTTGTATCATTATATCATTAGTATAGAGTGCAACAGGATGCTTAAATATAATATTCAGATTTTTCTTTTGAAATGAGCGAAATTTTACGACCCATACATACTTGAGGAAGGAGCCATAGTAGTGTAATTGGTATAGCGACTGGCTACAGGTTGGACAGCGGAGGGGTCAGAGTTCAAGTCCCAGTAGGGTCAAGAATATTCTCGTCTCCAAGTCGTCCAGATCGGCTCTGGGGCACACCGAACCTCCTATCCAAGTGGTACCAGACACTCTTTCTCCCAATGGGGTAAAACGTCCAGGACGTGAAGCTGACCACTCACCTCCAGCTAGTGCTAAAGTCAAGAAAATGTGAATATATACAGCCACTCCCCCATATGCCTTCATGGCGTAGTGCTTATTAAGCACAGGGACAACTTTACCTTTACTATGGAATTGTAACATGGTCATACTGGTTTTCATGAATAAATATTGTGGTCATCTATGCCTCTCATTCAGAAGGTCTTGGGATTTCAAGTCGTGGTCCAGAGACCAGCTGTCCTGACGGAGGTTTATTTGTGGTTTTCATCAGGGTACCTGATGATTAGTTGTTTAAAAATTACCATCATTCCAGCCTGATGATGGGGACAGAGATGGTCCCTGAAACACTGGTGATTTTTAACCAACTGACATGACTGATAGCCTGCGAAGATTCCAGTTTTCTTCTGTATATTCCCGTGTTGCTGGAGGTTATATGCACACAATTTCAATGAATGAGAAAGGGGCATTTCCATAATCCTCAGATATTGATATCAAAGTCCATGAGCTATGAACTATGCCAAATTAAAAATGAATGTGATTGAAGTTTAGTGATGAGTTATAGATTGATGAAAATATGTAGAATACTGATAGTATTAAATTTCTGTCATGAAATGAATGTGACCTATACCTGGATAAATATTGTACTTACATTTCCTGGTCCTTCCTTGTAATAAATACTCTTAATATTTTTGCCTTGATTTTAGGAATTGGGTGTAATCATATTGTTAAATGCATGTAAGGGAAGAAAAATAAGCATGAGAATCTTAAGAAATGTTAGGAAGTTGATGTAATTAAATCACCTGTTAAAACTTATTCTGTTGTTTGTCTTTTCCAATACATTTGTATGTTCTTTTTTCACATTTGCTGTATTGTTCCAGTGGGCAGCACTGAACAGCGGTCTCTTGGTGCAACCTCTTCTCAAGTCTCTCCAGCTTCTGTGATGCAGTTTGACTCGTATACAACTTTTGACTGGGATGTATATTTGAGGGAAACAAACAGCGTGACTGCTCCACCAGAGTACTACAAGCAGGTATAGCAGATTCCCCTTGAAATGTGTCCATGTTGAAAGTATTCATTTTATTTTATTTGGCACCTATCTGGGTAAACAGTATTGTGATTACTTCCTTATTTTGTAAGGAAAGATAATTATGTCCATATGTCTTGAACCAATAGATAGTTTTTATGAAACTTTGTTTGAACAAGACACCATTAGATGCAGTCCCACTTTTATACTGTGGCCTGTGTACCTGTAACTAAATAGTGATGATTCTGTAAACAGCAGCCGTTGCTATGCAGTAGGTGAATGAACAAACACCTCTTTCTCTGTAAGGGTTGAGGTATTGTTGGACTATAATGGTGAATACTATGTTTTCTATGTGGTTTATGTCAAAATGTTATGAGAAGGGTCATTTCAGTTCTGGAGAGAGAGTTGTCAGCAGTTCAGCTTAGTGAAGTGATGTGTACCTGGTTGGTGAGTTAGAGAGTTCATTTGTCAGTCGAAAGTCAGTTTGTGAAGTGAAGACTAAGAGGTTGGTGTGAAATGGCTGCCAACCTGGGAATCTGGTTGTTGAGTTGTCACTTGACAAGAGTTCTGTGTGTGTGGCTGTGACCAGATGGCCTGAGCATAGGAAGCTGAAGAATCTCCCTTGGTAGAAGCCGTTGCCAGGAAACAGCTACTGGAGACTGTAATAGACTGAGGACACTATCTGTACGTGTCAGTGATCTGTAATGCGTAGTTCTTTTTTTTTTATTGCTAGTGGGGTGGGACTAAGTCCCTTGTACTGCAACCACTTCTGGCCTATTGTACCAGCCCCAAATGATAGGTGAGGGTGATTGTGGAGCAATTGGTGGAATGAAGATTGGCAGGGGAAACCGAAGTACTGAGAGAGAAACTGCCCCAGCGCCACTTTGTCCACCACAAATCCCACTTGACCAGACCCGGGATCGAACCCGGACCGCTGCGGTGGGAAGCCAGCGACTAACCACTTGAGCTGTGGCGCAGCCCATGTGTAGTTGTTAGTGGTATATACAAGTGGTCAATAAATCCATTCACAAATCCATTCCCCATCTATAGTCACACACCCAAAAATCATGACAGAACATTTTAATTTCTGTCATAACTAATGCGAGCTTGCAAGGTGGGAACTGCACTAGTGTCACTTTGCCTGCCATAGCACTACATGCTAAGAATGCCAAGGCTGCTTGGTGATATATTCAGTTTCACAGAAAAATCCATAATATTTTTGCTCAGTTGAACCTCAAAAGAACAATAGAATTGTGTCTTATGGTATATCATTCTTTTTTCTAAACATTGGTGTGTCGCACTTGGTGACATCTGTTCATTATATTTTACTGATTTATTAACAGTGAGCTGATCTCTTTGGCTGTACCAGTTTTAGTGCAGATACCCAAACTGATCTGTTTTGTACATGACATGGAAAGATTTAATTTAGAATCTTGTAATTTTTTTTTTTATAATAGATTTAAGAAAAAGAATATGTGATGTTTGGTAAGGTAATTGCTTTGCAGGATATAAAATTAATAAAATGGTGGTTGTGTATTAGTGTTTTATTAAATGAAAGAGTATTTTGCAGATAAAATAAATACCATAAACCACAAACACATTGATTTCTGGTAATTGTAGCAAGTACTGCTTTTTAAACGCAAGAGACCATGATGATGCTAAGCCAATTGTGATAAGGGTCAGCTTCAGTATTTATTTAAATTAAGTAACTCCATGGAGCAGGGTATTTCATGAGAAGCTTTTAGTTACTCAGCAAGTTGAGGAATTTCCTTCCTTTTTTGGATCCCAAAGGTTCATTTCCACATTCACAAGAGCTTGCCTTAGGGCCATATCATATGTCAGATGAATCCAGTTTGTACTCTCATATCCTGTTTCTTTAAGATGCATTTTACTTTATTCCCCATTTGTGCCTTGGTCTCCCAAGTGGTCTCTTCCCTTCAATTTAAAATTTTATATTCCTAAGACAATTTATCATGCATGTACATGCAAGAGTTTCTGTTTCTGGTATGATGAAATATTGATTATAATGTTATTAATATTTTCAGCATATAACTCCTCCAACAAATGAATTCAAGATTGGAATGAAATTAGAGGCCTTAGATCCAAGAAACCTAACCTCAACATGTATTGCATCTGTTGTTGGAATTCTTGGCCCAAGACTAAGGCTCAGACTTGATGGAAGTGATAACAAGAATGATTTTTGGAGGCTTGTGGACTCAAATGAAATACATCCCATTGGCCATTGTGAGAAACATGGTGGAATGCTTCAGCCTCCTTTGGGTAAATTAAAAAGTTACAAGTGATGTTACTGTGATTTAGATGTTATTTTTAACCCTTTGACGTGGTCATTTAAATTCCGCGGCCGCGGCTCCTGCGGTAATATATTCAGCCGGCCATTTAAATTTTGCTCGAAAATTATTTATTCATCATTGTTCTTAAATTCTATGAGATAGGAACATGAAACTTTCACTAAAATGATCTTAAATGGTGGTTTTATAACCTTACCTTATAATATGGGCGCCCTGTATCTCGGCCATGGAAGCAGGTTGTTTAGTATTTCAGCAGTGAATGGTACGCCTTGAAGGATGAAACTTTCACTAAAATGATCTTAAATGGTGGTTTTATAACCTTACCTTATAATATGNCAAGATTGGAATGAAATTAGAGGCCTTAGATCCAAGAAACCTAACCTCAACATGTATTGCATCTGTTGTTGGAATTCTTGGCCCAAGACTAAGGCTCAGACTTGATGGAAGTGATAACAAGAATGATTTTTGGAGGCTTGTGGACTCAAATGAAATACATCCCATTGGCCATTGTGAGAAACATGGTGGAATGCTTCAGCCTCCTTTGGGTAAATTAAAAAGTTACAAGTGATGTTACTGTGATTTAGATGTTATTTTTAATAAGACTTTAAAAGTATACAGATGCATTCAGCAGGAGGAATAGTGACATTCTAGCATCTGTGGTCATGTGTTCATTCTTATGAGCTCAGATGTTTTAAGTATCTTTTAAGATAGCTGTTCCAGTGTTTGAAGGACCATTGTTGATTTTCTAATATACAAGTTCAGAAATGTACTCATTGTTTAACATTTCCTGTTTAAGTATCTTAAAAACTGTAAGAATTTGGGAAGAATATTGTGCATAAATATGTATTTCATTTTTCTGAACAGTTTTTAAAGCATTTTTTAGTGTGATGAATATTGCACAAGTTGTGCTTGTGATGTGCTCAGAAATTCATATAGGTTTTCATGTAAAATGTCCATTATTTCTGCATGATTTTAATGAAAAATTGGAATATGTCAACAAATTTTAGTGGAACTCCACAACATAAAATTTGTAAGTTCATAAAAAATTATATTGGAACATTCTGTACAAAATAGACAAGAGTATCTCATGTATGATACTTAGGATGATGTTTTCCCATTAAGATAATCCCAATTTAATATCATTTTCCCATCTGCACCTAAATCTGGCAAATGACTACTTCCTTCCATGTTGTCTGATGAAGATTTTGTATGCATAAATTATCTCTGGTGCATACAAAATCTTTATCAGACAAATAATAATATTCGGTAAGGAGTACAAATTATGAAGCTGCACATTATGCATTTTTCCAATTTCCTGTGGCGTTACTTATATCCTGTAGTTGCATATATTATCCTCAGCACCGTGTTTTGTAAGCACTGTAAATTTATGAAGAATGCCATCTTCTGGGATGTGGCGCTGTGTAGATCCTGTGTGAACCGATGTTTTGAAGGAACGTATCATTCCATCTTCCTCCAAAATGTTGGTTCACACAGGATCTACATAGCACCATATCCCAGAAGATGACATTCTTTATAGTCAAAGCCGTGAAAACCTCAAATATTGCGCTCTAAATTTATGTTTTTAATGAGGGTAAGAGAGAATGTTAAAACCCTTGTACAAAACAAGAAGTGAAATCATAGTTGTGTGTACTATGATCTTTTTATATGAAGACAGAACTTACTGAACTGAATGGTAGCAAGGATGCCGCAGATGTTTTATATGATATAAATATATAACTCTAATACAGATATTTTATAAGCTGTAATTATTATATTGTCGTTTTCTGTTGTAGAAAATATCATCATGAAGAAGTTTATGTGATGAAATTTTTAGATTTTGGGGAAGGGCACATGTGACTGGCACAGTTCTGATTCAAATGTTTATTCAACAGGGTTCCGAATGAATGCATCCTCATGGCCAATGTTCCTTTTGAAGACACTGAATGGTGCAGAAATGGCTCCATCAAAAATATTTAAAAAGGAACCCCCTACACCAAAAACTAACTTGTTTCAAGTAGGGATGAAGCTTGAAGCAGTAGATAAAAAAAATCCACAGTTAATCTGTGCTGCTACTGTCGGTAAGTTAAAAGACCTGTAGGATAATGCAAATTACCTTTTACACTGGCTCATTCAATTTCTTATTTTTTAATATATTTAAAAAATTTTCTTGTGAATAGTGATACTTCTTATTTGAATGTGTTTTATTTATAAAGTGTAAATAATTCAGTGTCATAATGTGAATGGAAGGCAAACTTAAGACATTGATATAATTGTATTTCAGTTATATTATAAGGGATATTAATACTGGCATATAATTTTCAGGAGCTGTTAAGGGCGAAATGATTCATGTGACATTTGATGGATGGCGAGGAGCCTTTGATTATTGGTGTCGGTTTGACTCTCGAGATATCTTTCCTGTTGGATGGTGTGCTAAGAGTGGACATCCCTTGCAGCCTCCTGGGCAAAAGAGTATGTACAGAGTTCAGGCAATACAATAAACATTGCTTTTTGTTTGATATCATGCGTATGATTAGATTTAGAAATTTTGTACCATTTTTGTGTTAGTACTTATATGTATATAGGTCACACCGATTCTGTGACAGAAAATCTAAACTTTTTATTGTCCATAAAAATTGCTATTGAAGTTTTGTCACTTTTAAAATCACCATTCTGCTTCACATTATTCTAGTTCTTTTTCTTGGGGGGTGGGGGGGGTGGGAGTGCAGTTCATTTGTATGTTCATGTGGCACCATTTACTTTTGGAAATCATCCATTTCTCCTCCTCATATCAGTCCCCATTACAACTGTGTTTAACACCAGCAATACGAATTATAAAATGTATGTCAGTATGTAGTGTCTGTAAGTTAATCTTTGTATTCTGGGAATACAATACAATTTATTGCGGTAGCTGCACATGGTGCTAGCCGGTACAAAGCAAGAGTGTGCAATATTCCACCTCCTCTGGCTGGGGTGGGTGGCACTCCCGGCAGCATGGAACCACAACAGTTGTCACCAAGAAGTGCTGGGACAGCTGCAGCTAGTGAGGCAAGTTCAACAAATGGTGGTACAGCAGGCATCACTGTGACTGAACCGGACACATCCACAATGCAAAAACAAGCAGCAGGTTTGTCAACATTAATCTGTGTTGTCTGCCTGTAAGACTACAGTTTTATTACATTACATTGCATTACATTACATTACATTGCATTGCATTGCATTCCTTGGATCCAAAGTTAGTCGAAATGACTGTAGGATGTGGAATATGTTATATAAATACAAAACATATGTACAGACCCAATGGAGTTCTCATACAAGAGGAACCAAGAATATACAATGACTACACACAAGGCTATTTAAAGATACATATGTTATTTTCTAGACAGTAGGTATTCATCAACAGAGTAGAATGAATGTGCATTTAAGTATCGTTTCAGTGCTATTTTAAAGTGTGCCTTTTCATCCATAAGACCTTTGAGATCAGATGGCAGGTTATTAAAAATGTTGATCCCAGCATTGTACAACACTCGCAGCCAAAAAAGGACACATCACAAGACACAGTATACACAAAACATAAGAAGAACGATTCCCATAGTGGAAGAAGGATGTAGTACGCGAGTTTGAGTTAAGACGTGTAAGATGATGGACATTAACAAATTTTGATATATATATAAATTTTATTATAGTTAGTGAAGAGAGTGCATTTTAGATAATTTTATAAATGACACATGATGGCGAGCAATGCAGTTGCTTGATGTAAATAACACACCTGAAGATGGCACAGTGATGCCGAAACATGTGAGTTTGTCTTGTTTGTTGCTTGGCTGCCTTTTCAACCCTGAAAGTGATTCCATCATTTTCTGAAATGTCAGCGAATGTCTTTCCGGCTTTGCAGTGTCACATCAGAGAAAATAGTAGTCTTCAGAAAATAAGTCATTACTTCATTGTCAGATAATACTGTATTTAAGCATCCTGTTGCATTAATGTATCACTTACACACATTCACTTTCGTCCTAAATTTAACTTTATTTACGATTACCCCTTTACCTAAAAATAAAAGTTGAAAATTATAAATTGAAATTAAAATTGCTGCATTTTTTGGCCCTCCTCAGCCATCCACAGGCAACTTATATTTTATGATATTGTGACATGCTGAGCTATGGATGACGTTACAATATGATTGTCTGAGTTGGAGAATTTGTTTTTTGTGTTCAGTATTTTTATTTTTTTATGTAAACGTTTTCTATGGGTAAATTTTATTTTTTAGGTTTTGATTAATATTTTGATTCATTAACAATATAATTAATTGGATAATAATAATAATAATAATAAACATACATACATGAACAAATGAGATTCCAGGTACTTTGTCTTAAACTGCAAGCATGGTGGTTACTAAAACTTGAACAGCTATTATGTCTGCGTGAAAAATGTACAAATAAAATTTAACTCCTGATTGCAGTATGTGTATTTGTAAACCATGGCTGTACCTGTGGTCCGTACCTTGATCCACGGAAGGTTGCTGATCTTCCAGTGGTTTTCAATGGGAAAAGTATCAGCCGAGTACTGAGAGAGAGTGTACAGTCACTTGTTGATGCTGCACTGGATCAAAAGCAGATATTTGGATTACTGAGACAAGGAGAAGGAAGAGTTGTTATTACAGGTGAGTGGGTTGCAACAGTGCTATGCATAATTATTTCTAGTATATCTAGTAGAGTTAATTGGTATTCCTAGGCAAGTTGTAAAGATAATTGTTATCAGTTTTGACAAAGATCTTTTGTTTATGTATTTTCCATTAGGAGTTATTCTGGCGAGAGAAAATAAGTGTACATATAATCCTGTTTCTTAATTTTGCTGTAGTGCCCTGTGAAGGCTTAGAGCTTAAAATGTAAAAATGAAAATGATAGAAAATATGTTTAAGAAACAGTTAAGAGATTTGAATTAGAAACTGTTTCAGCCGGAGATGTGTGCCAAAGAATTTTATCTGGAAAAGTAATAATGTTGAGATGATATTCTGTACTGTGAGAAATGTACTAGTTAAAATTACCTTCATAAAGGTTTGTCAAATATGTAGTAATATGTAATGCCATTATTTTAGCCAACTGTAGTACTGCAAGCAGTTTTTACATTTTCATAATGTGTATTGTGACGTGCTGCACTATGAATGACACACACACACACCCCCGCTGGCGGTGACACGCCGAGCGGAGCCAAAGTGAGCCGAATCCAAGCATGCTGGTCGCTATGCAAAGCGAGTAATCAGCGGTACCCATTACGTAACACGGGATGCTGCAATTGCTACGTAGCCGTAAACAACTCCCAGCAGCATTGCTAGGCTATCGGCAAACACGGAGACTAGGCAACAAGGAAGCGAGGCATTTCCCGTTGTCTGGCTGAGAGTTTATAAGAGAACTACACTGCCTACAAAGTCAGTTAAAGTGTAGCAGCCGCCGAAGAGAGTTGGAATCTAGCCAGTGGAGAGTTACGAGTTAGCCAGGGAGTCAGTCAACCAGTCAGTTGTAGCCTAGCATTCGCAGGCCAAGTAATTGTAATACTGCAGATAGCAGTAGTTGTGAATCTGTAATTTGTGTGATTGTAAGAGCGAGTGTGCAATAAAATTCGCTATATCCAATACGGCGTGAAGTTATTTGTCGCATTATACACCTAACATGTGACAGTATGTATTAACAGTCTTCAAGTGCATACAATCCCATTTACCACTTCTACACTACATGTTTTGGCAGTATGCTGCCATCTTCAGGTGTATTGATCCGTCAACCATTTCACTGCTTGCCTTTACATGTCCATTTACAAATAATATTAAATTTGTATACGTCCTTATATAATAATAAAGTTTATGTATTTAAAACTTATTTAAACCTATTATCTCATATGTCACATTTTAAATTCGTGTGTATTATTAATCATCCACATGGGGGTCATTCATATGTTTCTAATGTTGTGTGTATATTATGTCTTATGATGTGTTGTACTCTTGTGGCTGCGTGCGTTGTATCGTTGGATGTGTTGATGGCAGCATACTGCCGAAACAGATAGTGTATGAGGGTCGATCAATAAGTACCCGTGTTTGAAGACAGGTGGCGTTGCTGAGGGAAGCTGGCATTACCGTCGTGTACTGCCGTCTGTCAAACGACACCATACTAAATTTCAGACTGATTCACAGGTTAGTTTTTATTTGGCAGCCAGTTGCATCAGACGTGTTTCGTCTTTCTCGATACAATGGAAAAAGTGCAATATCGATCCGTAATTCGCTTTTTATTTTTGGATGGAAAAACATGCGAAGAAATAAAAGCGAAGTTGGATGCCGTCTATGGGGACCCTTCACCATCTGTGACAACCGTGAGGTATTGGTTCAACAAATTTAAAAGTGGTCATACATCTGTTTTTGATGAGGAGCGGCCAGGCCGCCCGGCAGACGTCGTTACCAAGGAAATTGTTGAAAAGGTCCACGACATGATTCTCGCCGATCGGCAGACTAAAGTGCGTGACGTAGCAGAGGCCGTAGGTGTGTTGTACGGAACAGCAATCAATATTTTACATGATAACTTAAGTATGAGAAAGGTTTCGGCCCAATGGGTGCCGCGATTGCTCACGGTGGACAACAAGTGGATACGGCTGCCAATGTTGAAGCAGTGTTTGGACCTCTTTAAGCGAAATTCACAGGAATTTTTGCGTCGAGTCGTCACCGTTGATGAAACCTGGATACATTATTATACGCCAGAGACCAAGCGACAGTCAAAACAATGGATTCTTCCGGGTGAATCTGCTCCAAAGAAGGCAAAGACGGTCCCATCGGCCAGAAAGGTCATGGTCACGATTTTTTGGGATTCAAAGGGAATAATCCTCATGGACTTCTTGCAGAAAGGAAGAACGATCACGGGGCAGTACTACAGTGAATTATTGGACCGATTTGATAAGAAATTGAAGGAGACACGGCCCCATTTGTCTAAGAAAAAAGTGCTGTTTCACCACGATAACGCACCAGCACATTCATCCGGAATTGTCGTAGCCAAATTGCATGAACTGCGCTACAAATTGCCTCCGCACCCACCGTACTCGCCCGATCTGGCTCCCTGCGACTTTTTTCTGTTACCCAACATGAAAACATGGCTCGGGGGGAAAAAAAATCAGCTCAAACGAGGAGGTTATCGCCGAGACAGAAGCGTATTTTGAAGAGTTTGACAAATCGTATTTTTTGAAGGGGTTAAAGAAATGGCAAAAACGTTGGGAAAAGTGTATTGACCTCAAAGGAGATTACGTTGAAAAAAAGAAATTGTGAAAAACTTGTGTCTTTATTCTTAACATGGGTACTTATTGATCGACCCTCGTAGAAGTGGTAAATGGGATTGTATGCACTTGAAGACTGTTAGTACATACACATTATGAATATGAATCAGTGCAACAGGATGCTAAAATACATTTTCCACTGGATAAAATGTTTATTTAACATTGTATTGTTTTCCATTCCAGCATCATTTGACAGTAAAACTGTACATGTGAGGCTCCCTGTGATAGAAAAGGTGGCTGAATTATGGAATTTCCTAGAGATTTTGTTTGAAGAATTGATGTGCTGTGAAAACTTCTACACAAGTCAGCACATGGTTGGTGCCTGTTCAAAGTGCTCAAAACAAGGATTACAACCTGTTGCCAGTAAAAAGGGTGAGGTCTGCTGCAGAATTCAAAAGCAGCTTCTGAACTTCGTTTTGAGTATTTTATGGATGCTAAGAAGTTTTGTTACAGGCTGTATGGTAGGGATTTTGTTGACAAACGAAGGAATATTCGTAGCTTTTCCAGTGTTCTACTGAGCAAGGTTCATTTAAAGCAAGGCTGTAAGTACCACTGTAAATGTTAAGTGTAGTGAGAAATATTGACCTACAGTGTATTAATGATCTACATTTTCTGTATGTTAGGAGTTTACTCATTGAGAGTTAACATTTGTGTAACGGTGGAGGATGTCAGGTTCTTTAGTTTGTGGGAAAAGATGAGAAAATATAATTAAGTGAATACTTCCTCTCTGTTACTGGGATTGTTAGTCGTGCCATTTCACAATTAAGTAATTGCCCAGTACAGGCTGGGAGGACTGATTGTGTTTCATCAGTAGTAACTGATCTGTTATAATGAGAATTGGACATAACAAGTATTGTAAAGCAGAGAAAAAAGCATGCACCAGCCCCCTCCCCACGCACACTGCTCTCTTTACATTTTTGAAATTACATCCATAGAGATATTTTCTTGTCTAGTGCAAGGCCATAGTAATTTTGCTGTTTACTCTGATGTATCCTTACAAAATGTGGAAACAGTTGTTAGAGAAATGCAGTACTATTTCATAATGCCACGTTTGTTTATTCTTTTGTGTCTTGTAGCTAAACTTCGCACAGACGGACACAATGAAAAATCCGCTCCCAGGTCTTAGAAATGACTTCTGTGACATGTCATTTGTTAAGGACAGGTTTACTGTTACATTACAAAGCATAGTGGGTTAATGCAGTTCCCTGATATGCATTTCAGAGTACACATTAAATATTCAATGTGCAGTCGCATTTAAATCCTCTTTCTCCTTATCAGCCACAGGTGGTAGTGTTAGCCATACATGAAGAAGTGGTAGACTTGTCTGTTGGGTACAGAGTCATAGTCTCAAGATGCCTGTAGTTTCAACAGTTTCAGTTATAATTAAGCTTCTATTTTGTTGGGGCTCATTCATGTTAAGTTTGTAAATATTAAATTCGGAATGTAATAATTTCATTCCTATGCAGTAACAATTACAGTTGTGTATAACATCTTAGATATATTCTGCTGTTGTTGTGTTACAGAGGATTGTGAAGTTAGTGGTGGTGGAGGTTCGATGACAGATAACAGTGGAGCCATGAAGCGCAGATGGTCCTCTGAGAGTTCAGACTCAAATTCACGGCTGGGTCCAGGCCCTATTACTACAACAGCACCTACACCTTCACCTTCACTCCCATCAACCACAGCCCCCGTGGCAAAACAGCCTAGAAAATCAGTGCCAGGTTGGATTTTTCAACATTTACAACTGTATCAAGTTTTATATTATGTGATTTTACATGATGGTGGTATAATTTATTTTGAGCAAAGTGTAATAGATAACTGAGAAAAGCAGACATTATCAGTCTAGGAGGCATATGGGACGCTATTAACATTTTTAAGGTGGTCAGTCGATACATTCATCCTCATATGAGACAGCTGTTGCATAATTGAGTCCTTATGCATGTGAATGATTGATATTTTTTTTAATTGACAGCAGTGAATGTGTTTTGTTTTGCGGCTTTATTTTTTAGTTCCCATGGACTTAGTGGACCTAGTATTCTCCATTTGTATGCAATTTAAGGTCACAAGTTTTGAAATTAAACTGAGAGCATACCACAGTAATTTGCTAATACCATTGAATAAATGAAGAAACTACTTGCACCATGTGATTTCAGGCTAGTTGCAGATAACCATGATTGCAATTAGTAATATTCATATTGTTTGTGAAAAGATTTCTTTTATTAGCAGATGACTGAATGTTAACAAATTATGTACTGTGGAGAAAGACAAGTTTGTTATTATGAATTTAAGAAGCATAAGCCATGGTTTAACAAAGGATGCTCAGAATTATTAGATAAAGGAAACAAACCACATTGTGGTGGTTTTGGATCCAAGCAAAATAAATGGGGATAATCTGAACAATATAAGATGTGTAGCCTGCAGACATTTCAGAAAAAAAAAAAAAAAAAAAAGCAGGATTATCTGAAATACAATTAAAGATCTTGCAACAAACAGTAAGAACAAGCACGTTAGAGAACTGTATAGAGGAACAGATGAATTCAAGAGGGGTTACCAATTTAGAAGTATTAGGGAAGGATGAGAATGGTGATCTACTTCCAGATTCCCACAACATTTTGAATAGGTGGAAGAACTACTCTCAGTTATTGAATGTACATAAAGTCAGTGATGTAGGCAGATACAAATACATACAGCTGAGCCATTAGTATCTGATCTAGCTCTTTTGAGGTTGAAATTGCTATTGCAAAATTGAAAAGGTTCGCCAGGTAGTGATCAAATTTTGGCAGAACTGATTCAAGCAGAAGGTGAAATATTATGTTCTAAGAGCCATAAGCTAAGTAATGCTATTTGGAATAGGGAAAAATTGCCTGATCAGTGAAAGGATTCTATTATTATACCAGTTCACAAGATGGGTGATGAAACTGACTGCAGTAATTATCGTGGGATATCACTGCTATCAACATCATACAAAATTTTATCCAATATTTTTCTCTTAATGTTAAGCCCGCACATAGACTAAATTATTGGAGATCATCAGTGTGGGTTTTGACATGCCACATCAACTACAGATCAGATCTTTTGCATTCGTCAGATATTGGGGAAAAAATGTGAGTACAATGAGACAGTACATCAGCTATTTGTAGAGCTCAAGAAATCCTATGATTCGATTAGGAGGGAAGTATTGTACAATATTTTGATAGAGTTTGGGATACCCATGAAACTAGTTAGGCTGATTAAAATGTGTTTAAACAGAAGGTATAGCAGAGTCCATTTAGGTAGACGTTTGTCTGATAATTTTCCTATCCATAATGATCTAAAACACAGAGATGCTTTATTGCCACTGATTTTATACGTTGCTTTAGAATATGTCATTAGGAAGGTCCAAGAAAATCAGATACAGAACTGTAATTTTGTCTGTGGTTCTGTATGGGTGAAGTCCTTGAGAGATTATGTTGAATGTTAACAATAATTATGTTAATTGAGTGTTATTAGTTACTGGTGACTTTTGATCTTGTATTAACATCATCAGACAAGAAACATCTTTCTCTGGATAGGTGACATAGCGTTCAGTATCTTATAATCTGCACTTACTATATATTTTATGGCAGAAGTGTGAATCATGAAGGAGTGTATGTAGAACTAGTCTAATCATGTGATATATGTATGATACAAACTCCGTCGTAAATGCAACACTTTCTTGTAGTTCTTGTCCCCCTTCTTTCACACTACATGGTTTGGCCGCAACCAGCCATCATCAGGTGTATTTTACTTCATGTAGCTGTCACACTGCACTCAATATTAACATTTGAACTCCAGATTTCCAATTGTTCATTGCTCTGTCGTCAATTGGCACCCGATATTCCAGAACTCCCCTTGTCGGTTTTGTCAATTATGTTTAAAATCTTTATTAATATTGACTTGTCAGTTGGTTTAAAATTTTAAATTCTCAGTTTAGCTTTAATATTTAAAATTTAAATTTTAAATTTAAAATAAAAAATCACAGAGATACCTGCTCTATGCTTATATGTGCTGCAGCGGCTACCTCTTGCTTTCAGCACAGCTCGTGTGTTATTTTTGTGCAGGCTCTCTGTGTGTGTGCCACTGCTTTTCTTCAGTACGTTTGCTAATATAGTATACTAATCGTGTGAACTGATTAGTTCAATAATTTATTTAATTTTAGCTGAATTGGAGGCCGCAACATCCACGACACACTCTGAAGCTCCTCCAAAGACACCAGCAGATCCATCTGAATGGTCAATTGAGGATGTTATTCAACATATTGCCTTCATTGATCCTGCACTGGGGGTCCATGCAGATCTCTTCAGAAAACATGTAAGTTCAACAGATAAGAATGAAATATATTTTGAAACCTTCCTCAGTTCCATTAATATATTGAGGTAACATTTTAGTTTTCCTTGTTCAGTTTTCTACACTTGGTGTGTAGAAAAATGGCTCTGATAGTTTACGAGATGCTTCAGGAACTTTTCGTGAGTGTCCCAAAACTTCTAGGTTTTCAGGTCTGTTTTCAATTTCTTGATTAAACAATGGTCATGCCATTAGTATTTGTTTCTCGCTCACAGAATGTCGCTTCTCAGTTGTGTTCTTTTCATTTGAATAAATGGATGGTGTTTCAGAACAAAGTACTGAAGAGAATATTTGGATCTATGATGAAGCAACAGGAGGATGAAGAAAACTTCATAATGATCAGGTTCATAATTTGTACAAATATGTTTCTGGACATTATCCATTGTCCTGTCTTTATCTAAAAACACCATCCCAAGTCCAGAGATAGTGACTAGCTGTAACAATTGGGCCCAACTGAGTAGATTTTACCTGAAGGCGGGGTCAGAATCCAGTCTCCAAAACGTTGTGTTTTGATAAATAAACAGGACGTCTTTTTAGATAAAGACAGGATGATAGATGATGTCCAGAAACATAATATTTGTACTAATGTACCATCACCACATTCATTTAGATCTTATATTCATGATTTGCATGCTCATCACCAGATTATTATTAGGATGATAAAATCAAGGAGAATAAGATGGGCAGTACATGTAGCATTCAAAGGAGAGATAGAAATTATGTACCAAAATTTGATCATTAATTATGAAGAAATTAAATTCTTTGGAAGACCTGGACATGTCTGGGAGGATAATATTAATAGTAAGCAATAAATTGTATATAGCATGCCATATCTGACAAACGTCTGGAAGTATTTTCATGTTTCTTCCCATGTTGAGCTGAGCTAAGAAATATGATAAACTGTATGTTATCTAGCATATATGGGGAATGAAATGTTCTGGTTACACAAATCTTCAGCTTGCTTGAGAAAAACTTACATAAACCCAATTTTCTTGCAGTTTTCATCCATTGTATCATCATGGTCACAACCATCTGCTTTCAAATAATTGTCTCTTAATTTAAAATTATATGTATATAAGCTTTTTATTGAATTAATATCTTTAATTAATATAAGAATCATCATGAGGCTCCTGTCTAAGCCATCAGTAGCAGAAGTAACAGCGGTGGATATAGGTAGATCTGACAACTATCTGTTGATTATATCTGAAGGAGATTGATGGTCAGATATGATGATAATGTTTGTTGGCAAAGTTAACAATCTTATTATGATTGTTCTTGCAGGAGATTGATGGTAAAGCTTTGCTTTTACTTAACTCGGACATGATGATGAAATACATGGGCCTAAAACTGGGTCCTGCTCTCAAGATCTGCAATTTGGTGAACAGAATTAAAGGACGGAGACATCTGCTGTTATGACAGTGAACTGTGCCTTCACCCAGGAAGGTGTAAAATCAACAATTTGTGATACGTAAGGTAGGTAAAATAATACTGTTACAATGTGAATATTGCAAGACAAAATCAGAAGTTAACTGTAGTAGGAAGTCCGTATTGAATTGCTGTGGGTGCAAGTTCAGTTCTTTACATTGAGAAGGATGAAAGAAGAGCTTATTTTGGTACATCTATGATAAGTGGAAAGGCCCATTCTGTCTGATCTGTGTATGAATGATTTCTTTCACTTTAGTACCCAAAAATTGACAAGTTTAAATTGCTTCTTATGTTTTGGTTCGTATTTTGCAAGATTTTTAAAGATATATGAATTATTTAATTCAGCTCTTCTATACAAGGTGTAAATAAACATACGTTACAACTCTCTGTGGTAGATAGATGGGTTCAATGTGATCATGTGAGTTCAACATAACATGGCCAGGCAGTGCAGAATATGCAGTTGGCAGCAGCCATTTTGAACAACTTTTATGATGTAAAACAACGATAACATCCCCTAAAACTTATGCTTCCTCTCAGAAACTTTTGTGACCCTTAGTGCAGGAAGGAAGTGTTTCTTGACATGGTTGTATTAACAAAATATCAGATTGAACCCATCTATCTACCACAGAGTGTTGTAACATGTATTTATGTACAGCCTGTATATTGTTGCTTTGTTTTGAGAGAAAAATTTTACAAGCTGCACTGTGTATTCAGCAAAGCACAGGCTCTTTGAGTTTACTGTATTTTGAACAGACATTGATAAAGATTGATTTAATGCAGTAAGTTTATAACAGTATTGTTCATTAATTTTGTGTTCCATAATACTACTGCTTAGAATATTCTGAACTGATGCTTTTGTTATACAATTTTAACACTGTTAATTATTGTGCCACCATCATTGTTTATGTGGACTTGTTTATTATATTATCACATTCATCACGTGTGATGTATACTTTAATGGAAGTACTTTAAAATTGCAAGCCACAGACGAATAAATTGATGCTTAATCAGAAATATTGCTGTTTCAACAGTATCATGAACATGGTAAGAATATTCTGAAAAGAATTAAAAAAAACCTGTACATTTTAAAATGTTGGAACTAAGATTGATGTTATTTGTTTTCAAGATTCAGCTTCTTTTATTTTTTTGTTTTGTTTTTCTAATTCATATGTCATAGTATGTTGCAGTGCATTAGGAGAGAGCACCATTAGGAGGCTACAATTAATTGAATTTATGGAGGCTATTTTCAGCTTCTTTTCTTCTGATTTATGCAGAAATAATTTCTTCTGCTTAATATTAAGGCACAGACAATAAAACTTACTTTTTATTGTTATTTTTCTTCGGTCCTCTAGTTTTCCGAGTGTGCCAGTGCAATTTGATATGTATTGAAAATGTACAAAGTGTGTGTGTATGTGTATTTTTGGTGAGTCCTGATACACTTGTGTTTCTAAGGTGAAAACCAGATTGTTTGGTATGGAAAGTGTACTCTGAAAGTTTATATTAACTGATGATAGAACTGTATATGAAGCCAATTCATTTATATCTCTACTTAGTAGCTGAGGCACATAGTAAAAGAGCTGCAAGCTCTTCTGTGAAATATCATTTGAGTATCAGTAGCATTATGTACTGAATATCTTTGAAGAAAATCTATATTTTATTCTGCAAATATACTGTTCTCTTTATTGATACTGTTTAAGAGTTACCTATTAAATAAGTCAGCAGGTAATATGTAATGTATAAGATTTATTTAGCTTTTGTTCACAGAGATAAAATTCCATATGTGCTGAAATGGCTTTAGTAATTGTAATTTATTGGAGAATTAATATAGTACTGTGTTTAGCCTTAAAGTTTCTCAAAATGTTTGGTTGATTGTAACCCTCTTCATTGTGCAGAACCTCTGTATTTCATACAATAAAAGTAAGGCATTACTGAATTATTTAGAAAAAAATGTGTGTGCACAAATTAAGACTTAGCAAAATGGCACAGCCATGAAGTTTTATGTGATTCAAATCCCAAACATGGACCTGTTATTCTGGCTGAGGATACCATTTCCCTATCCTGTTGTATTTATTATTCATAATCATTTGCCATATCTTATTTGATATGTCACAATCTCTCCAGTTGATATTGCAATGAAAATAACTAATACCCAAGAAAACGAAAATAATATCCTAAATTGGAATTTAATTTGGCATGTGTGTAATGCTAGTTGGCACAATGAAAGTCATTGTTTTAATATAGCTGTAATTTGTGTGGTATCTTCATTATGAATTGTGTCTTCATAATCAGGCTCATCAGCAATATGAGTAACTAAAATTAATTATGTTTTTAATCCCTGTTTTTTTTTTAATAAAATTTAATTTCCTAATATTTTAACAGTATTTGTAGGGAGCAGCAATAGTGTAGTCAGTATAGCGACTGGCTACAGGCTGGACAACAAGGGGGTTGGAGTTCGAGTCCAGTAGAGTCAAGAATTTTCTCTTCTCTGCATCACCCAGACCGGCTCTCGGGTTCACCCAACCTTCTGTCCAATGGGTACCAGAGATTCTTTTCCCAGGGGCAAAGTGGCCAGGACATGAAGCTGACCACTGGCCTCCAGCTAGTGCTGAGGTCAAGAAAATGTGGATCTATACATCCACTTCCCCATATGCCTTCATGGTGTAGTGCTTAATTACTTAAGCAGAAGGACAACTTTACTTTTAACAGTATTTGTTTTCTGGATTTACTCATATGTGAGTAAAGTTCACAAATTTCTTTAACCTAATTGAGAATCTAAATATTGTCATCTGGTATCCCAAACCTGAAATTTGTGAGACAAACTTGCAGAATGTAGAGGTAAAGTTTCCCAGGTTATCAAACACACTAAATTTGGTATGTCTGCTTAACCCTTCAGCGCAGGCATTTAAATATTGCTGTTGTGGGGCCTCCTGCGGTAGTATTTTTTAATTGCCCATTTAAATTTTGGTCTAAATTATATTATGTATCATAACTTTTGAACTATATGAGGTATAATTATGAATTTTTCATTGAAATCATCTTAAAAGATGGTTTTATAATCTTACCTTATAATATGAGCGCCCTGTATCTGAGCGATGGAAGCAAATGGATTAGAAATTGAGTTTCCTATGGTATTTCTGGAAACATCCATCTAAACACAACCCTGCCTCACATTCACTACACCAAAAATAAACTCTTTCCTTTTACCATGTTTTGCGCACGCCACTTATCTTTTTTGAGGCTTTGCTTTTTCCCTTTGGCTGGAATACGCTCCAGGGAATGTCATTCTGTGAATCTTTAAGGCGGCGGCTTAACTGATGGACAGCCGTATACAGGATGAGGAAAACCAGAACCGTGGTTTTCCACAAGGCCTGGTGCTAGTGAAAGTCTGAACTTTAGCGTGCCCATGTTTTTCTTATTCGGGAGACACCGATATATAACCATTGCGTTATGTATTGCTACATCGAATAACTTCTGATACCACTTAGTACTCTTCTTTCATTCAAGCAAGTACGGCTGTAGCATTTGATCTGTCAGATCCACTCCTAGCATGTTTCTGTTGAATCACAAACAACCACGGCTTTGTTTCTTGTTTGTTTGCTTTATTCACAACCACACGCATATCATCTTTGTGGTATGTTGTTGATATCATAGTCACTCGGCCATCGTAACTGTGAGGTCAGCGTTCTATTTAGACTGACTGGCAGAGCTGCAGGAAATTGAATATTATGTTTACACAAACAGAGAGCTCATTATTTTCACAACAGCCCGGTGCAATCGTCGTCATGCTGGCATGGTTCATTCCATATTTATGGGCCTTCGAAATTAAACTCACAGCTTGGCGTACGGTGTATGGCAAACCGCAGGTAGGACCATTTAAATACCAGTATACCATGTATGGCAAACCACGCTGAAGGGTTAATGTAGAAACATGCATATAGTAACTGAAGATCTGAATTGTACCTTAATATGGACATTCCCATGAAAATGTGCCTGTTGACTGCTCAGTTTCTGTCTGTGAATGCTTCTGATTGTGTAAGTGGTGTTGTATTACCAGACAGTTTGAGAAACTTTAGCTCTAGCCTTCCTGTCCTATTTTCTGCATTGTGTTATAAGTTACACAGAAAGTAATGAGAACGTATCAGTACATTTCATTCTTCGCATGAAATTCATATGATATGTTGTTTTCTGTGTTTGTGATATTTATCTTTGGTGGCCTGTTCATAAACAAACTCCATTGTTGTTGGTTTGATGTGGTAGGAAAGCTTACTGGTTCATTTAAATTTATGATTGAATTTGTTCCACTTCGTTGATTGGTTGCAGAATAGGTACATTGTTACAACTTCACACGTGCTGAAAAGATTACTTCTCAACCAGCAATCAATTGCAGTGTGGCATATTATATATTTAATTGGTTTTAGATCAGTTGTTCCAAGACTTTTTGATACACTACCCCCGTTTTGGTTTTCACGAAATACTCAGGCCCCCCTCCCCCATTATTGGAATTGAAATAAATGTAACCGTTTGCACTCAGATTATTGCTCATGATCATGTAACTCATAGTTATTTTACGAATATATCTGGTGTATATGGTGAAGATCAGAAAATACCCATGAAAGCATTAAATGTTATTCTATCCATTTTTCTTCTCTTAATTCAGTTTTTTTGCATATGTATCTCAAGAGCTCAAATTTAGAAGTTTTTATTTATTATCAGTGTTAGTTGGGTTGACATTCCACCCTACAGGTTGGTATTCCACATCAAAATATGACATACAAGTATTTAGTTCTAGGAACCATTTATATGTCTGTCATGGTTTCCATCCAAAAAATGTGGGGAAAAAATGCGATTCTGTGTGCATCTTTTTCACCCACTGTCAATTAGGAGTAAAATGTGAAAACATTTTAAGTCACCTTAAATAATGCCTGATCACTGTTATAGTACCAAGTAATGAATAATAAAATACTGTTTAGCAAATTTATATATCTGGAAATAAGGGAAGAAGTATTCATTGTATTGGGGCCCTAGCATTTTAAAAGTTTAAATGGAAATGCTGTATGGTGCTCTTTAATTGGCTAAGATTATTGCTGACATGTTGAAGTCTAACCACATAATTTCTTTATTTTCTGGAAGAGGTGTGACTAATACAACCAAGCAAAAGTGAATATTTCAGCTGAATTTAACAAGTGGCAAGTGGCATTATCTTTGACTTGGGACTTCTAATGTTGAATAAAGGAAAACTCTGTGAGGAACATTAAATGCAGGTTCCACTATATGTAGTATAATAATTTTCTTTAAAAATTATACACATTCAGGTATATGAATTAAAATATTTCATTTAGAGTTTATTGTTAACACAAACTGAGGTACACCATTTTGAAAATGAAGATGCGAGAAACATAAAGAATGTGAACGTTTTGATGCATGTCGTAGTTATCTGACAGTAAGACAAACTTGGACTCTCTTCACAGTAAATATTTTCAAGGAAAAAATAGTAATATAACTTGTCTAGTTAAACTCTCATCTTTTTCTTCTTTGACATTGTTCCTTACTGCACATTATGTATTATCTCAGTGTCATGCCATTGTTAATTTTTTGGTATGCCTGATAACCATTCGTTCAGTGTTAACACTTATGTCATATACTATACCTTAAATCAGCATCAACAAACACCACACAGAACAGCAGTGCATCCAGAGAGTGAACAATATCTGGCAATCGTGACATATCTCAGAGCACAGATATCAATATGAAAATATTTTGTAGGAGTATTAACACTTCATGCTATATTCCTTTTGCTTCAGCAGTATTAGAAACATTGACTATATGAATTCATGTCTGATGTGCATTACATCATTATGAAATGTGCTTCAGAAATATGCCAGTGTATGAATTACATGTGAATGTGGCACAATTGATAATGAAAACCTAATAAGTACTGCTTTAAAAGCACACAGTGCATATGAAAAGTAATGAGTAAAAAAAATGTAAAAAGAAAACAGAAGCACAGAGAAAAAATTTATTATGAAAGTCATTTAGATTAGTCCCTATGGGACTCCATGCACTTGTTACACCTCTCTTCTAATCGTTGCAAGCACCCTTAAAATTCCCCCCAGATTATCTCCTATTGATAGTCTCAGTCTTTTGGGTGTTTTGGATGATATGAAAATTGTTTTCCTTTCATATTCATTTTTAACTTTGAAAAGAGAAAAAAAAAATCAGCCAGAGCTGGTGAATGGGGGTTGTGGGGAGGGGGGTTAATCTCAGTAACCCCTTTTTCAAAAGAAATCTTTGAACAATTAACATGGATTATGCAAGTGCAACTGTTATGCAACAAAAACTGATTCTTTCTTTCATGAAAGTATGGTCTGACCTATTAAATATCACTGAATCAAATTTCTTCACACATTTTTCTTCATTCATGAATGTAAGAGGCCCTCTAGGTTTGAGTAAAAATAAAATGGAAGTTCATTGTCTTACAGTCGGGTAAACATAGTACCTTTTGATCTCTGAGGTGACATGTATAAAAAATGTGTTAGAATTATCTGCAAAATGTCATTGTTGCAGGCCATCAAAAGTTCCTAGTATATCATCATGTTTATTCATGTATTTGAGTGAAGTATGAAATCATTTCCTGCAGATGTGTACTTTGAAGTATATTTGTCTTTGGGCACTGGAGTTTGGCTATGAATTTTACACATTACATGGCAGAACAATATGTTGGTTGAGAGAAGGGGTAAAGAAGGGACGAATATGTGATCAGTGAGGAAGTAGACAAAATAAGTTACCTTATAGCACTGGAATGTATCATAAAAATGTTACATTGTACTAGTAACTTGCCAGATGAAAGCAATAAATTAGAAATGTCTTGAAAATCCACAGAACCCCTTTCAGCATCAAGGTTATTACACTGATACAAATATTTATGAGCTATGTGATTTTCAGTTTCATTTTTATACTGATAAGAAC